TACGAAGAGGCAGAACAAAGCTACGTAGTAAAATCCCCGTAGAAATAGCAGTTCGTTGAGCAACGCTCCAGTAAGAGTCATGGTGAAAAAATAGTGGCGTGAAGAAACCTTTGCCGAAATGATTTCTTATCACGAAAAGTAGGATAAAGCATATAAGTCATTAGAATAAATATGTGCGTGCCATTCTCTTTGTCTGTTTCATTGGGAATGTTCAGACAAGTCTTTACGTTTTACTAGTAGTGAAAAGTGCAGACTAATCGGTGAATAACTAAATAAGAGAATAAGGAGATCAGCCTTTGTTTTATATTTATCCATTTCTCTGTATCTGGACTCGAACTCTACCTTCTACCGAATGCAATCGAATCCTGTAGCACGGATTGTCAACGCTGGTGCTAACCACAAGTCCTGTAGGCTATTCTGAATTTTTCAGAATAAATCACTGTGACTCAAACTCATCGTTTACTTCTTAATACCAAACGCAGCCCAATTTTTTGCCTTTTTGAAGCTCGTAGGGTTCAAACTTTTCTGTCCTTAAACACTCCTATACTAGGTTACTCTTTCTCTTGACCACAAAAAAGCTACGTTCAAGGACAAGTCGCAACTATACGGAAAAACTTAAACACGTCTTTTCGATAGCGCTGTCGATGAAGCAGCACTTGTTAACGGAAAACATTGATTACACAGATGGCTTCCCTTGATTTAACATGCTGTATGCACCTATATTCGTGCATGGCAAACCAACAGACCTTAATCTTAGCCCTTTTATTTGCTACCTTTACCCTTTTTAATGACAGGGTATGTTGCGAAATATAACTCGTATATAATGCTGAGATATTTTTGCAAAACTCCGGACCGCAGGTGTATGCGGTGGGGAACGAACACGCTATTGTCCTTGCCGGGGTGTAGCGCACCTCACCACCACACCATCCGGGTCCTTCGCTTTGCCTGTCTCTCTGCCTGTCTGTTAACTGGGTTCAATGCCGATTTGGGCTCCCCAGATCAATCCCGTTGACGGGTGATTGCTGATGGCAAAAGACCAATAGAACTAGCTGAGAGACAGGCAAAACGAAAGACCCGGATGGTGTGGTGGTGAAGTGCGCTACACCCGGCAAGGACAATAGCGCGTTCGTTCCCCACCGCATACACCTGCGGTCCGGAGTTTTGCAAATATCTCAGCATTATATACAACAGACCTTAGTTTACCAAAGTCTATACTGATCTATGGTTTCAAGCTTTAGTTCGTCTTTCTCACGAATCACTTAATGTTACGACGTCGGAGACTCGTTGACACAGGGTACTCGGAAATCCGAGTAGAAGTACTTGAGCAGCGTGATTTGCATGATTTTCACGTAGACTTCAATAGGATTTGTAAAAATTGAAGCGACACTCTGCTACACTGTCTCGTTTGCTCTTCTGAAGAGGCGATGAACTTTAATTTCACCACAAATACTTAAAAAACTACTGCTCAGGAAAAAAAAAAGCCGTGAAAGGGAGCTAAAATCACGTCATCAGCGCAGAATTGCAGTGTAACTGAATATGTATCATCCAATGCTTTGTTCAAAACTATAATGTTTCTAGAACATTTTTACCCGACTTCTATATTTCTTCTATTCTGCCTCCTATCTATTTTTTCTGGTTCTCTTTCTTTTATTCCTAATATACTTCTTAACGAATCCTAATGACCCAATTTAAATGAGCCGTCTTTCATACCTACTGTGCGGATCACAATCCTTCCTGCATTCACCCCATCTTCTCGCACCAAAAATCAAAACAATACCGTCGTGCTAGTTCCATTTATTCTAGCAGATACTGTGCAAAATCCAAATTAGCGTATTGACGAAAAGTCGCTGTAGGCCATTCAAAAGCTCGATAACGATTCTGTCGAGGCCAGCAACTGCTCAATCATACACTGATATGAAAAGCTTGAATGCACCACTTTGGGAGTACCAGGCGGTGAAGTGACATAACCATTGTTCCGAGGATGAAAGCAGTATAAGTAAGCGTCTATGTCAACGAAGAAGTAAATGGTGGTAGTGGATCCTTGGCGTAAGATCTTTTTGTTCCTCCTATGCGGAGCTCTTCATACAAAAGGCTAAACGAAGTAGATTAGAGAATAAGGCTAAGACTGCTGATAGGTTAATTCAAACGTTTTCGGAAAAAGATATCCTTCGGCTTTTTTTTAAGTCTTCACTACGACTGATGCTAAGAAGTTCAATGAGAAAGTAGTATTTCTAATTCATGTTTTTTACAATGATATCTTCACTAAAATCGTATAGTGAAACAAACATATTCTTGCTTATTATGGTCTTGGTATTCCTTGAGATATAATGTTAACTGCGCTTTCTACTGTAGTAGAAAAAAAACTTTGGGGTCTCCCTGGAACTTTGGACATGAGGAACATCTCACAGGTGGTTGCGGCTGTGGTTAATTCCATTTCGACGCGCTCTGGGCAGGAAGCATTCTCACGTCTACCCGCTTCATTCTAGTACATTAGCAACGTGTACTCCCAAAGATGCTCACCTGGAACCAATACTGGTATCAAAGTCATTGATGACGATCACATGAAAACTGTGACTATCTTGTACAACCTTTTAAAGTACATCAAAATGAGATGTGAGTGACATAGCCTATCAACCGTTAACGGTCGACAAGTTTTCAATCGCTAATGTCCGATCTATATCGCTACTTATTCATGGGGACGGATACTTATGTCCAAGCTCGTATGCACGAGACACCCAATTTATCAATTTTTTTTTAATAACTCACATCTGAGGGACAGTTCTTCACCACAGTCACCAAGAACATTTAGTAGATGTCTTTTTCCAGCTAATCATATAACATCGCACTTACCCTTTCTAATTTCCACAATCTTCTCAATGAAAGTCTACAACGTCCGTCTTAATTCCCACAATGTTCTCAGTGGAAGTCTGCGAGTTATCACTATTTCACTGTGGTTACTTGAAAATTTGAGGACGTATAAATGACAATGGTGTTTTAGGAAGTTCTATGCACTCGAATCTCTTAGAGCAGCCAAAATGAAACCATTCTTGAAGTACAGGAACAGGTCTAGTACATTTGTTTTTCTTGTTTAAAAATACACAACCGTGGTTTGCCAAGTTCTCCCAGTGTATAAAGGAAATTTTTTTTCGGAAACTGCAGAGAAACTAAGGTGCTTTTTACTTATCCCTCGTCACTTGCCCGTAGAATATTGGCCGAATTGTTGTCCACGTTACACACCCGCTCTTCAGAATCCTCATGCACATAAGTTATGAAGCTTGTGAAGTCTATTATGTTTATGTAGAGCATGTTTATTATGTTTTATCTCATGGCAAGCACTAAATCTTTTCTGATTCGCCTTTAACCCAATCTACCACCTAAGGATGCACGACATAGCCTCCCAAACTAATTGGCCAGAGATATCTCACGTATGCCTGTGTAAACTGTCATTGAGAATCCACTCTCGCAGAAGCATCGCGAGAAATCATTACAGTGAAATAATAACATGGTCCATTCAAGATAAATGTCACAGTGAGTGGTGGTCTAGACGAAAATGTTAGAGTCGTATGTTGCTGAACAGTCACTGCAGAGAACAGAGCGTACTGAATCTGCTTGATAATATATAATATTGGTATTCAAGTTGAAAACGCTACGCTTAGCTTCCTACTGATGAAGGAGTACATGCGTAAAGGACTCTGAATAATTTCAGCAGTCAGGATGAATTTTTAGGTTATCCACATCCTCCCCCTATGTTGTCGTGATGCGCGCTGTGATGAAACCGAAATGGCAGCTGACTGCCTCCGGGTGTTGTCCCGATTGCGCAACCTCACCAATCACTCTCGTCGGCTTCTTTTCAACTTTTCTGAATTTAATTGCTGACAATAAATTAGCACTAATTATTTGTAGCGCCGTTCATGGACATCGGAAACGCGGACCATTTTCGTGGCTTGCCGATTCACCTGCATCGATACCAACGTTTGCAATAAGTAGGTTTCATCTTCACAGCTCCTAAACGATAAAAACGAAGGCTGAAAGCACGGGGTGAAAGAGACGGTCTCAAATAAAAATTCTAGAATGGTTCAGATGCTATGTTGAAGAAGGAAGTAGAACGACATAAGGAAGTAGGACACAATGAATAAAAACTTTCATTTCCATAGCAATTTCTTCTTGCAAAAGATGGGGAAACCATAGAGAAACTCTCCTGAAGTATGGGTATAGTATGCAGGTGCTCTTACCACTACACTTTGGTTTAATCAAGGTGTTCGTTTTTTGGCCATTGAAATAGGTTGAAACCAGTTCGTTTAGTGGGAGACCCACTAACTCAAGCCGACTTACCAACCTATCTACCACAAGTAACAATCAATATTTATTGTTCATCCTCTGCACTAATCATTATGACTATGTCGAGCTGATAATAAGCTGATAACATAAATGGTAATCACACTGGCCACCGATAGAAACGTTCTGTACAAAAAAGCAGCGCGTTTGAAGGCGTGACATGAAAACGCAACTGAAAAGGTCAATAGAGTTATTGAATATCAACAAATATGTGCTGAAAGAAATGGTTTGTTGCGTTTCCACTGACCCGCTTAGAAGCACATACCTCTGCCACATCTACGCCACATTGCAAAACCAATGACTGCCGCTTGTGAAAATCAATGAATCAACGAAAATCACGGTGAGCATTTGCACGGATCACTTAACTGTACATTGGCAACTTTTGTCATCGCAAAATAGGACGGTTCTATTAAATGGAAAGTCAGTAAGGCAACTCGTCATGAGGGAGAATGAGGAAGACAAGGCAAAGCTGGCGTGCGACGGCGACAATGAGCGACAATTATCGATTCTGTGGCGTGCGTTCGTCGCGCCTATGACTGTTGTGCAAGTATAAATGCATGTACCGGTTTTGTTGACCAATGGCCTGAGTAAATGCGCGAGAAACACCAATTATTAGGCAGTGCTTGTAAAACTGACTACGAACAATATGACAAACAGAACTACACTTAGGTAGTATATGAGAAATGTGAGAGGTATTTCTCGACCAGCGCCACAGCATCTGGTCGTCCCATCACTCGGAGTGTTTGTAGAAGGTCATGAGTAGCTCTCAGCGAACCGTACTCTCTTGCTTCCCACAGATCTAGCAGCAGAGTTGTTGGGGAACAACCAGGACGAGTGGCAAAATACTGCAAGCACATTCAGTGAGCTCATGGGTAGACCACCGAAGTATGAAAGAAACCTACCTGAATATACCGATCGCTATGCAGTTTTCTCGCTAGTCCTCGCCAGTCTCGTTCTGGATCAGTAGGTGGGTCAAGCAACTGCGACAATCGTTCCTTCACGTCGATGGGTAGATGAAAATCTGCTGTGACCACACGGTCTTCTTCTAACGGTGGTTTATCATACTGAAAACTATCATTATCTCCAAACACAAAACCGTATGAGTACAAGATTTGCCGAACTGTTGGTATTTTGACAAACAGCACCGCAGGAATCAGTTAAATACATTAACACGCAAACAAATAAGCAGTGCTCACAATGTTGTTCTCGAATCGCACTTGTAGAACATGTCGTTCCGCGTTGTTCGTCTTCTGATAGACGACTATTCGCGCCATGAACTCCTCTACCTGCCTGTCTGACTCGCTCTGTACCGCTATTGAACAGTGCAAACCATTTTGGTTGCACCACTGGTGATGAGACTCGGGAATTTCCTTCAGTAAATAACGTTTCGAAATAGCACTGATTAGCAGTGGAAACGACTCATTTTGACCACGAATGAATAAGGACATTAAATATATGATAGATCATTTAATGATTATACAAATTCTTGCAACGAGGTTGTCAACCTACGTGGCATTTCTTGAAATATAAAGAAAATCCTGTAACTAGAAATGGCAAAAAAAAACATTTTCGAAAGCGATAAGAAAAATTTTTAGCTTCCTTCTCAGCACTGGCAAAAGTCCAACTTTTGTGCTTTCGGTGTTCCCTATTTTCCGGAATAACTACATCTTTAGACCACAGCAGTGCTGTAGATGCGCATGACATGACTGGAGCGAATCCCGTACACATTAAAGAAACGTCAGCTGTTATTAGCAACTGCTGTTTCTCATTACATGGAGACTTCCCGAGTTTTTCAGTCTGCCTCTCTGGCACCAATTCTGGCGTTCCTGCAAGTCCTTGGTCGATAAGGGTGTTGAGGAAGCTCATTACGGTTTCGGTCACGTACCACTAATTGACTGGAAGGCGGTAATTCGAGAGATTCGTCGTCACAATGTCTCATCTTAATCGGATTTGAAGATTTGACGAATCGGGCATGACTCGGTTCTATTTCACTCCGGACTAAGTTCGCAAGTGTTTAATGAGATCGTGTGCAATCCAAGTGAGCATAAACACAAAGATGAGCATGACTTTTGTTGTGGAATACTAATGTTCGTGATTGACTCAGGCGAAGACGCAAACCAGTCTCACATACCAAGGCAGGCATTATTTTGTCATAGAACGATAGAGTGTACTGACCAGTCGCCTGGAAACACACTATGCATTCGGCTCATAGCATCGTATATGTGAATGAATACTTATTTCCCCCAAACAATGACTTGTGGGGACCTATCGAATCAAGTTAGTGTTTTTTACACTCACAAAAAAGGTCCTTTGCAATTTGTACACCACGGAGAGATGGAAGCTGGGGAGTTGGATAATGCGAGGCGTGAGATTTGATCCTTTTCAGTCCTATATTTACCTTTTATTTTGTTATACTGATTAAAAGGCCTGAAGAACACCATAAAGCATTCATCTATAAAAAGATAAAATAAGATAATAGGATAGAAATGAAAAAATCTTGGAAGTAAGGAATGAATTGTTGAGGTATGTTGACGGAAGAAGGTTTCATAACTCACCAGCAGTGTCGACCCGCGTATGCTAAACCCTTCAGAGACGTCTTCGACACAGAAACACAGATCACCCTTTTCATTTAATAGGAACTGATCGGATTCCGCGAGTAGTCTGAAACAGAAAGAAATTTTCCAGGGCCACGTTGTAACACTAAAAATCACCTGGATAAAGTTGAAAGTGCATTAAAATTAACGATCTCAAAAAGTGTTCGTAAGATATGTGAGACATATCACCAGGACACATTTGCAAAAATCCTACAGAGTATTAACTAAACAGTGTATACATTTTGTGGACCAGCGAGTAAAAGGTATGTGTACACGATTGCCAGCCTGCGAACGCCTAGTGAACACTGCAATTCTATGAAGCGCTACTAAACTTTTCACAAACTATGAAAAAGAGATCTTCACGATGCTATAAAACTTCGGTGCAGGAACCTGGGTAAAAGGAGAAAATGCGCTGAGCTTTTTCAAGTAAAAAGAAACATTAAAATGTTCTATGAGCTCCTTTTTTCGCTACCTTTCCCTAGGTGTAAAGTTCCATTCCGATTGAGCTCTCCTTCACTCAGTCACTGACTCACCGTCCATGTTGCTCCTGTTTAGCAACGCTTTCCATGGCGGCTCCTGTTTCTAGCACACAATAGACTCTTAGCTCGAATGTGGACGTTCTCGGTCTCTCCGATGGGCCAAAAGCAGCCAGATGAATTCTTTTACATGAACTAATCGAAGATCGCCGAGGTCGACCGGCCAGCATCACCCTTAATGTGCTGAGTTATGGATCCTTTTAGCAGTGCACCATCTATTAAAATGGTGATTAATGACAGTTGTAATTTTTTTCTCTGCAGATGGTTCTTACCGAGTGAAAACGGAACAAGTGTTAATTTTTGCAATAGTTCTTTTACCACTTCATAAAGGGTTATACTGTTCCGACCTGTGTCAAAAATGTTAGTTCTGTCCTATCAAGTTGTCTACTCTAGGGACATTTCACTCCGAACCTTCTCCAAGAATAGCACCATTATTTGTACCAAAATATCCAGCAGTAATTTTATCTTGAGAAGATTAATTTTAATTTACAATATGCTTCAGATCATGGAGAATCTAAAGATATATGTTGTAAAGATTAAGGACGGAAAGTCCTGTGTTTACTTCACTGCACAGGACTCCTTCAAAACTCCCGACTTTGCCTACTGCTAAAAACATTTAATGTCACTATGGACTGCTACAAGCTTTCCGTCACCAGATACCTGGCGAAGGTGTCAAGCATTACATGGCACCAGCCCATGCCACCATCGCTTCTGCCTGGCTTCTCCATAAATACGTACATCGTGGTATTAAGGTTCTCCTCGCCAACAGTCAACACACGTTGCCATCCGAATCCTGGAGCTGCTTTGAATCAAATCAATGCATTGTTTCACTGCATTGCTATCATATTTCTAGGATGACTCTAATCAGTTTTATTATCTAACCAGGCGGCAAATGAGCAAATGACACACCATGGCCCAATTCTAAGTCTAGCAAATCATCAAAGAATTAGTAAACGCAGAAAAGAACTTCCACAAAAGAAAATTACAGGAAACTGCGTCATTTCATAGCGGAACATTGTGCGACGCGATGAAATGAGGGTCTCCAAAGCTGTAATGTATTTTTCGCCTGTTTCAAATCGCGGTGTCATTCATAGTTGCTTAGAATGCAAAAAAAAAACAATCTACAGATTTAATCCGCACCTTCATCAGCGTATAATATGAAGCACCAATTGTCCTTTGGAAATACCGAAGCGCAATGTCTGAACGAAAGTACTAGTGGTTTCAGCATCAGTCGCAGAGGACTTGCCGGTTCGCCTTCACATTCGCCTAGCACCACCACCGACGATAGCGCTGATTCGCCGGCTAAAAATCGACAGTAAATTGCAGAATAACCAATCAGAGCGATTTACATTTTTATTGGACTGGTAACAGTTTTTGTTATCGCTGAATAGTTTAGAGAACAACGCTAATATTTCTGGTCTGATAGGTGCTGCCAAACCGATCGAATGGTGAACGCTAAGGAATAAACGTAAAGGAACTAAGTGAAATTTCGAGAAGACAAAATGACAAACGTTGGAGATTAGGACGGTCGCTGAGCTGATCAGAAACGGCCACATAAATCATGCGATCGCAATCGAATGAGTTCTCCGGAATCAATAATGAGGCGCCGCATTTTCGAAGCTAAAATTTTGAACGATTGGTAAATCGATAACTATTCGGAACATCCTCACTACGTGCAAGGTCATAGCGCTTTTATCATTCGATAACAAAGAATTGGCAAGCTCTATGAAATTTTACGGCATTAAAATATGCTCAGTTACAGGACATTGTCTAGAAAATCTCTCACTTCAGTGGATATACTATTCTCATCAGAATTCTCCATCGCTAGCTATCACTTACTTGTAGACGAGCTCCACTCTGATCCACTTGAGCCGCTAGGACGGCTTGTGATGACCCCAGATAACCTATAGCCTTCTCATCCAGGTAATCATAAAGTGTTGCGTAGTTCTCATCGTCAGAATAGTTGGAACTTGTGCGGACGATTGTACACTTTCCGCCTCCCGAGGACGAGTTTGACGAGCACTCGGTGATTAGGGCTGTACGAGAACCTGCGATGTGGTGTTTTAGAATGGAGAGAATTTTGTTCTAGTAAAACTGATATCACACTGTGACAGTGAAGTCCACGAGTTTCTTGGTATTCGTCAATTTTAATGAATTGGTCAGCGTTAGTCTTCTAGATAGTTCTGTGATAAAAAAAACCATTGGTGTCAGATCGCGTGAAATAATATTCATACAAAATAGCTAGACATGTTTTGTAAAACTGTGCTAACTGCACTGTCAAAAAAGAATAAATGTGATTTCAATGAGGCTGAGGTATTTGCAAAGCTCCGGACCGCAGGTGTCTACGGTGAGGAGCGAAGGCGCTACTATCCTTTCCGGGGCTAACGCATCCACCACCACACCATGCGGATCCTTCGTTTCCCCTGTCTCTCAGCTGGTTCTACCGATCAATACCAAATTAAAAAAGATCAGAGAATAAAATTAGAAAAGTTGAATTTTGATTCACCACGGTTTCCAGCCACTGATACTCATGGAAAATCACCGTACCCGTATTTCGATTTGCCGAATAGCCACTATATGCGCTTTTAGCAGATCGAAGCGTCATTGATGGATGAAGTGGAGACGGAGAACAAGTGCTACCTAAGGTGAAGAACTGCGAACCGACAGGTGGTGGCTGAAATGTACGGAAATGGCGATGTGACGGAACCGACAAACAATACTACATTCAGATAGGTAGCAAACCTTTACACATTCATCGGCCAGCAGAGCTTTTTGCTGTTGTTCAAGTAGTACGTGGCGTACATGAGCTGAAATTCGAAAAGAATCAGCAGACACTTGAAAAGAGCATTTTCGTTTTTTATTGTTAGAACCTCAGTAACAAAAAAGAATAACCAAACCGAATGAAGTTATGCCACCTAAGCTTTCTTGATCCTATAGCTTCCCAATCAATTAGTCAGTTGAAGGAGTGAAATAAGAATAGAGACTTTGGATAAAATAGAAAACAGTTTTCAACCTAAATGGATGGATATTTCGATTTATGCCCACAGATGAATCCGCTTCGTTAAAAGAGTCCTTCACAATGTTCGTAGTCAACTTGTCAGAGCGTTTGTTCGTCCTTAAGTGTTATTTTCCTTGCTTAGGATAAGTTATAAATCATACGACCGCATTTATTTACTGATTCAGCACTTCGAAAAATCACTTAATTAGCACTTATGATAATTGCAGAAGCGAAGTCAGGCGTTTGCTAGCACTAAGCTCTCAAGTGGTGGGCCCATACATCCCTGTCCTCAATACCCAACAAGAATTTCAACCGAGTCTTTCCCGTTGCGATTGCTCACTGTCATCCTTTCGTGTCAAATTAAATCCAGACGCGTCGTGGGGGAATTCGTCTCCTAGCGGCAGCCACTTGGATTATGCGATTTCGGCGAACTTATGGCCGCTTTCGAAATTTGCATAGTCAAAGAGCCTCCGCAAACAATGGCTACATGAGCCGAACACCAACCGCAGTCACTACTTGCTTCCAAATTTTTTGAAATAATGCAAATATAGGCAAGTTTTTAATAAAAGAGCTTAGTGATGCGCAGGCCAATAAGTAGGGCATTCGCTGAGGATTTCCTCTAGGCGTCGGCATAGATGACCATAGATGTTTTTCCCAAGAGAAAATTCTTAGAAGAAAATCCATCCTTCACTCTAATTTTAAAAAGCAATCCTAGGTTTCGTAGTTGATGCCGTAGAAAATCAGTACGATCACCAGGCCCTAGAAGTCATGAAACACAAGGAAATTGTAGTAGAACTTAAATAAATATCCTGCATGCTACTAGCAGTCCGTCAGCCAATCCATAGTTTAAAAGTTAAAAACAGTTAATGACCAACGAAGGATGGGTACTTCGCCCAAACTGCCCCCTTAAAATCTCTAAAATTATTTTTCCGCCTACTTCTTGCAAAATTATGCTTTCGTGTTCAAAAAACATGCACCGTAGCCTATATACGTGTATATATATATGTATACATAGGCTATATACACGTTATATACATATATATGCATATATTAACGGGAAGCACAGAAATGCACAACAAGGTGTTAGAGGCAATAGGCGATATCGAATGACAGAACTTTGGCTAGACACATAAAATATGGCCGCATAAGAAATATGCTAATAATAAATATCATACTCCTTTTATTTTTATGATTCAAATTGCTACAAAATTATCAAATATGGATTTTTTATGTGAACGCTCTCGAGCAGATTTTGGTGAGGTTCTCGAGGAGCGTTTTAGGTAGCGAGCGCTGAGTTAAATGAGGACCAAAAATAACCGTGTAATTCACCTAGAAACGCCATTGGATTGATGGATGGATACAGTTGAATGACTGAAAAACACAGAAATCGATTGGAGATTCTTTCTAACACAAAGGCCTACTTCAAAATAACCCAGATACAAGTAGGACAGAGGCTAGTGAGCAACCTATGGTGATCCTAAATACAAGCAGCCGGTGAGTAACTGGTGAAGGAATGCTTTCCAAAAGCAATAAATAAAGACTTAATACAAAAAGTATGGTGCTAATCGTGTTATTGAGTGTGCATGCAGTCCAGTAGCCGAGCGAGAGAAGCCCACAGACCTCAAATGGTCGACAGGAGAGTTAATTGGTGCCTGTTCGAATCAGTTGAGAGATGATTAACATTACAATAAGTGTGAAAGTTGGCGACCAAATAGATGAATAGATCTCGAGTACTTAGGATAACCCCATCAATGAACATCATCACGAGAGTCTCACAAACATCAGCGACGACTTAGAATTTCAATAACTTGGTAATGTACTGTGATTTCTTGTGTTTTTCACAGATTTGTTCTCTGTGTCTTCCTCTTTTTTCGGACGGTAAAGCAATTAATTATCATCAAAAAAGTAAACTTACAGCCACTTTCTGCGTAATAGATGTTCTTCACACTGCTTTTCTTCTCCCTAGTTCTTTTACATAAAAGTGCTGTGCACAAAGCCATGATGATCGCCAGAAGCACCAGTACGCAAGCCAATCCACCATAGACCGTGGCTTCATTGGCTAGGTGAGGTTGCTGTGCCGAAGACGGGACGCAGTAGCTGCAAAAGTAGCATAGAATTTATTTAGCACTTGGAACATCCAGCAAGAAAAGAATCCAATGAATTTTTTGCAACGAATTCAGAGCAAAAAAAGAACTCACTCTTCACTGCAAGGTACTGTTTCCAACTCACGCCCGGCGCACGGTCTGCCACCATTGATTGGCGGTGGTTGAGTACAAGTTCGAGAACGAAAACGATGGCAACTAGGAGAACAGGGAGACCAGTCAGACCAAGAAGACCATCGACCATCAAGACGGCAAGTGAGATTACATGATCGAAATTCCTGAGAGAATTCGAGAACATCAGTACTGCTCAACGCATATAACAGATGTTTCTCATTAAAATGCATTTATATCTCCAGAAAAAAGAATGATTTAGTGGTTCTCTATTTAATGGCAGCTTCCCAGTTCAACGATTCTGTTTCCAAAAGGTTTGAAAGGCCACGAATGCAAAGCGAACAAAAAGGCATACGTAAAAGCGTAAAAGCATAGGTGGTGCCGATAAAGTATGTTACAAACTATGTCATAGTCCTACAGAGAGAGAGTTTGTGAACTACCTCCTCGTCTCCAGAGCAATATGCTCCACCATTCAGAGGAGCGGGATTGTTACAGGTTCGTGTCCTTCTCAATCTGGGAATCACTTCAGAGCCGACGTCACTTTCCAGAGCGCGACGAAGTGCCACGCAGTCGGCTGCACATGCTCCCGTCCATGACGACCATGATGACCAGCCGCCGTTCACTGGAATTCGCTAAATTGTGAACTTAAAACAAGATTCCACGTAGGCCTACAGTTCAGAAAACAAGGGTAATCCACCTAGCGTTTTCCAATGGGGGGATAGATTTAATCCTAAATCAGGAGCATTTTTGTCATACAATAACTTAGTGCTTTTAAGTGCATTTACAGGCATCAGTTGTGCTACTAATGTATAACGAAATACGAGCACAGCAATGAAAAGGTGACAAAAATAAAAAACAATCGAATCTCACAAATAAAACCACTATCTAAAAAAAGTATGTAGGAAAAGCAATTGGAAATTCATATTCCAGAATAATATTTATTTCTGCTCATCAGCAGAACAAAGATGCGCTTGAATTTGAACGCCTAAGAGAAACAAAAGAAACCTCCAGTAAGCTTTTTAACACGCCAAGATGTCCACTGATAATCCACTTCTCGAGTGGCTGCTATTTTAGAAAACAGTGAAAACTTTGTGAATTATCCCCATTATTGAATTGACCCCATTATATCTTATCTAAGCAGTGGATTGAAACCAACATATGTGTCTATTAGAACGGACACAGCGAAGTGTTTAGAACTGCACTGTGATACACATGGGGTCACTGGTTGGATTTCGCAGCAAACCAAGCCCTTCATCTTTCACGATATCGGCAAATTGATACCATAGTTGTCTTGGGAGGAAAGCGGCACTGACTTTATACAATAGTAGGCCACTGCAAGTCACTATTTAGCCCGAATAAATATTCAGTTACTTCTAACTATGCTTCGTGAAGACGAATATACGGTACACCCCTCAGGCATTGAACAACGCCAAGAGATTTATCTTTTATTCCTTATAGATCAGATCAATAGGTTCCGCAACAATAGAGGTTGGTAATGGAAATCAAATGTCGTTGACGTGTTGCTGAGAAAGTGGATTGTTTAGCGTAATTAAGGACATGGGTCAAGTAGAATTAGCTAACGAGGCTACAAACAATGTTTATCCCCGTTGTAAACAGAAAAAAAGACATGCACATGATGTTACATGTCGATACATGGTGAATGACTAACTACTATGGGAACGACAGCGAGAGCAGCTGTGACTATGCAACAGCACGATTGCCGAAATTTGGTTAAGAGAAACACATTAAACCGTCTTCTTTCCAGTAAATAGCACTTCATTTTCCAATCGTTAAGACTTAAGTTTAACTTTAAGCAATTGTGTTTGAATAAACTCGTTCAGCAGAATCGTCCTCTTATATTGTAATAAGGAATTTCTCTCTAAAGAAGGAATTCACTGGAGCCTTGTCCCTCAGCCTGGCTCCAAAACACACGGTCAAGAAATTGACCCACTTCTCAAGTCTCAAGAAGTTAATACGCTTTTATTGACGAAGATCGCTATCTTAATGCCATTACGACCGGCACACACATACATTTCAACCCAATAAGAGCTGGAGGAAACCTGAACGGTGAGTCGTAAAGCCAAGTCGTTATTTTTTTGCTATTGGGAACAAAGGGATTTACCACTAAATCCACATAATACAAGCCTTAATTGTGCTCCACATCACTTTTATGAGTGCGGCTCATCAAGGAAGACCACCTTAACTTCTGCAGAAATTTCTGTGGCTTGAATTAACTGAACGGGACTGTGCGACAATCTGCTATGCCCACCGTTTCATTCTGAGGTGTTGCCCTCAGCGATGATGGAGCAGACCGCTCCAGCGGCACAATGAGTTTTTGTCGGCGTCGGCGATGTTTTGAGACCGACCAACCGCCGTTGAGTAACGGAACAACAGAAGTCAGCCATGACGTAAGCATAACAGCCGTAGCGAACCAAACAATTCACATCTAGCCATTACTTCTTCAAAAATCACACATTAAACATAGATATTTTTTGCTTATTCTATGAATCATGAGTTTTTAATAAGTCATGAACCCAAAACTATGTTTCTTTTCCCCGTATGTTTCAGTTCCTTATGAAATTCCCATTGGAAGTACTTGAAATTTGACCACGAAGAAAGATTTTGAGAGCAGTTCTCATAGAATGTTAGATTTATCTCTTAAAGATGAAAGAAAAAGCATTATTTTACCAAACGCGAGCTATCGGGAAATAGCACCAACTTGCCAAAGTGTTCTATCAATGTTAACCTTTTATTTGTTGTCAATTTTTGTTATTTTTACTTAAAGCACAAATAACATTTTCCTAAACTGATTGTCAAAATTCCTTCCAGACACACCACCATAGCATCTTTCGATCATTTTAATCCAAATTTCCTCGTTACGAAATTCCCGGCATTTTTAGTGTCTAAGAAATTAATAAGAGCTCCAAAGTCAAGGACTGACTAATTCCTGAAGTCGCGATTTCACTTATTAGTATGGTATTCTTTAATTCTCTATATAGTTGTTTATAACAGGAACGAAATCCTAAACTTTATGCTCTCATTTTTCCATCGGCCATAAATACTTCAACAGTGACCAATTGCTAGATCTGTCTAAGCGATAAAATGCGTAGATTAGAACCGAGTCCGTCGTTCCGCACAAAATTAATCGGTCAATGGCTTGTGTCTGACAAACGAAAATTATAGCGCGTTCTGGTGGCTAATAGGTCTCTGTGATCGGTCATGTTGATCGAACACTCTAAACAAACGAGGTACGTCTTAACCTCGAAATCCGACAGAACCTATTCAGACAAGCCTAGATGCTGCGGAATACTCAGATGCCAAATAGGATCACTTATCTCAATTCAAGGACAGAGTGTAATGGAACATCTGCAATTCTTTTGAGCAGTTCTTCAGAACATTAAGCCTCTAGTTGGCCACATTAAATTAAATCACGGCCTTACCGTAAGACTGCCTGTGCTCTGTTGCCGGTTGACTTTTGTATTGACTTGCAAGGTCTAACACCACAAAAGATGTGCTAATCTCGAGCACCAAAAGTTCACCAGATCTTGGCGGCAAGGTTCTAAGAGAAACCGGAGTGCAGTGGTGAATATTATCCAGCTACGATCATCAATACATCACCGAAAACTACGACATCTCTAAAACAAGGAAATTCAAAACTGCGCAATCTTCTAAAATTCCCTCTTAGGCATAAGTTTCCCTGGTATCCAAAACTCAAAAAGTGTCCAATTTAGTAATCACGAGATTAAGAGCAATGACGGCGTACCCAAGTGAAAATTCTCGTTGTTTGGAAAATGACGTCACAATGAACTTGATTGACCAAAGCGTTGGCTAGAAAAGGATATTTACAGATGCTATGTGTCCCTTGTCATAATCCGAAAGCGAGAATATTTGTGTTATTGTGCATCAGCATGCTGATTAAATAATAGCGAGTTATGGATGCTTGACAAGGAGAGATACACGATAGGAACAACAGACCCGTCGTCTGAGCGAAGTCTACAAAATGGCAACAATGCGGAATCATTAGAGCTCCGTCAACAAGTTGTTGGCAAAGACTTTCAAAATCTCCTCTATAGGTACCTTAATTTCCAAGCATTCGATAGCTCGCTCTTAAACTACAATCAACGAATAGTTCTAATGCCGGAAACGAGCTGCAGAATTTATTACCTACGACTGAATCCAGGCGGAAAAGAAGTCTGCCTTCTAAAAAACTCGAAATTAACGGATTTACATACTCTAGAAGATGAGTTGAATGGCCTTCCATTTATGATGAAAAAAAAGTCAAAGACGAGGAAGTGGGTAAATGTAGGAAATCAGAAAGATCTCCACAAAAATTTCCAGTAAAGAACTGAACACTAAACAAAATTCACACATCATCTAGGAGCTATCGTGTTATTTTTTGTGAACCACTCTGCCCAATTTTTTGACGAAATACATGTACATGTTCTTTGAATTCACGTCCCTTACAGCGAACGATGGGAGGAATTCAGATGATTTAGTACAGAACATGTCATTTGTCAATCATAATGATAGGCATGAATTCTCTAAAAAGTCTTGTCGCGGCGTTTTTCAAGTGGCGAGTTTTTGAAAAGATGTACACCTCCACAAAATGAGAAATAAACTCAAAATCGCTGGTCTATCTTGTCTGAAGAGAAACATGTCTAACCAGACAACAAAACGGCTTACTGCTACAAGACTTCGAAAACCAGGAAACATGTGAATGATTGAAATTCGCTTCTGTCACCTACCATAGACACTCAACGTGGCAGGCTCCGTTACTCGACGATTTGCAATGTTAGTGGCTTCACAAGTGTAGTTGCCGGAGTCACGAAGTCGAGCGGCCGAAATGATCAGACTTCCATCGTTGCCGTAAATGACGTTCGAGTCGACCGATTTCTCGAGCTCAACGCCGTCTTTTATCCACGTTAGCTGAAAATATACGTTGTCGATTAGCAAACAAAACAAGGTGAGGTGTTCCTTAGTTTAAAACACGAGGGGTCAAGTTAACTTTGAATTCTTAGATTCTGTTCACTCCCAAATTTCTATTCTCTGACTTTCTCACATAAAAAGGTGATTATTACAGATCAATACGTCACACAGTGATATGAGGAAATTTTAACAAATCAATTGAAATTAAGAACTAGCTGAGAGATAGGCGAAACGAAGGACCCGCATGGTGTGGTGGTGAACGCATTAGTCCCCGGAAACGGTAATAGCGCCTTCCTTCCCCACCGAAGACATCTGGGGCCCGGAGTTTTGCAAATATCTCAACATCATTAAAGTTACATTTCGCAACATACTTTGCCATTGAAAAGAGTACGCGGTAAATAGTAAGCTAGTAAGTTAAAATTAAAATTAAGGGGTTTGCTAGTGCAGATTTAGCGTTTCAATAAGATGAGGGACGTTTTTTTTTAGTTTACTTCAACCAATAAGACAATAGCGAGATTTACGTTAGCATGGGAACACCTGTAGTACTTCAAGCAATTGCATCGTAAATCGTAGATGGAGAATATAAGTGACGCCTAATGGGAAAAAAATGAAGGGAAAGTTTTCAAAAGGCCCCAGATATACAAGCACGATTGCTGAGAACATAAAAGAAAGGATAAAAAATGATGTTGTATCCAAAAAGTTTGAAGCTGCTCTCGTGAAACCACGGTAGTTAACGAATCAAACGACGAAAAATCCTCGCCCAGTTAGAAGTCGCTTGAGCCCGCCGTTAACTTTGTCTTTTTTAAAACTGATGCTTCTTCCAGAGCTCCCTCCTCTTATCTCGATGTTCGCAAAAGCACCAAATTAAACTTGGCGCCGAGGAATACGGCGTGGTTATCAGAGTGTTCAATCGTCTAGCACGGAATAAACTGGGGTTTTTGCCGAAACAGCGCTATCGTTGACCATTATCGCCAACTCTGATGGCTGACAGTGCTAATACGCAGAGACATATGGCCTTCGTATGCTTATGGCCTGCGCAAAGTTTGACTAACTGTTAATAAGAACAATGCCTCCAGAATATCCTGGAATTATTCTCTTAAAATGAATCTCATCTCCGTCGCAAAAACGGCTTTTCTTCTTAAATTGGTATGATTAAGACTACTACTAGACAGAATTCGTAAAGTCGTAACAATTATAATCTAGGGCTCCACAGGTAAAATAAAAAGAATTAAAAGCATAAAGTTCTTGGCGCCGATTAATTCTTGAGTGATGCACCATGCACTTGACTTCATCAAGTGTCGTTACAGGTGACTGAATACATATATGGCTTATACAATGACTCGTGGTGGCCAACCCTGTATCGAGTCGAAGCTGCTGCTCTTCCAGATAAGGCTCGTGCCAATTTCATAACCCCGGAGAGATGGTAGGCTTGACGAACCCTGGGTGCGTGATCGACCCAATGACGGCGTGTGTATTGCAGGTAGCTCTGCCCACCACGCTACACAGGTAATATAGAAGAACTATTACCTTTACAAGGTCAAAAGCGCCTTGCAAATCAATCATTCTTTAATAATATTAGAATAGCATCCCTTTTGATAATGTCCTACCTAGTATTGAATCCTATTACGCATTTTAGGTTGTAAAAGAGTTCATATTAAAATCTTTTTGATACCTCCTCTTTTTTCATTTTCATTTATTTTTTCCTGAAGAAATAGTATTATAGGAAACTTAGTTAGGTCTACGTTTAAACTTTTTTAATAAACCAGGAAAACCGCTTCTCTAATATTCTCCACTTTTTGAAAGCAAGCACTGTTCCACGGGTTCCAACATTAAGCTTAACTTTGTGTCCTCTGTGCAAATTTTTGCATTTTACAGCAAAAAAAACCTCCAGAAATATCATAACAAACCTTTCAACCCTTTTCAAATGGCAAAGCAGTTACCTGTGCTTTTGGATCGCTTTCTGGTGCCACACACTGTAACTGAACTGTGGAACCTTCCGGCACCCGATCAGACGTGGGGGTCTGCACGAAGTGCTTTCGCATATCTGAAAAAAACTCAAAATTGGAGCCTCAGTTTTCAGTAGCAACACCTTCGTTCTCTTATTGTCTCAACAAAGTAATCCTATTCCCAGGCTATCAATTTCCTCGAGGAAATCGAACCGGAATTACGTTTGTTTCCGATCCAAGCACACAGAAGCGAGCGTGTAACCACACATACATAAGCATAGATACCATTCATCTGTGCTAACATTGTTAACTCCAAACTCTATGAAAAAGCTGACAGTCAAAGGAGAATTTTCGTCCGGTGAGAAAACTAATATATTTGCAGCCTTTTTTGAACACATTTGTCATGAATGACCATTAAACCCATAATGGTATAGTGTGACTAATAATTCAGAGTTTTTCAAGGAGTCCCTAAAAAAAGTCCATCTACATTGGAGGCTGCCTTCAGTCAAACGATGTGCACGAAATCCCCAGGTACCTCTGACATTTCGTGACCATGGTGCTCAGCCGACGGAAGCTCGGCAGGCGTGCGTTGGCGTCGGGGAGCACTTGAGCCGCTTCAATGCGACCAATCATCATAGCCGGCCAGTGTTCAACATGGCACAAAATCAACTTATTGCGCATTAGTCGTTCTGTCCGGCCACCAAACAATTGGATGTGAGCGTATGAGTTCAATGTGGGCGAGTTCGGACCTCATTTAGTCAGTTTCTTGGCGAACTCCATTTGAACAGTCATTAGTGGATTGAATCAACGCACGTCAGTAGGCCTAGTGTGTTGTGTATATGGAAACACAGGAGCCTCAGCCTTTTGCAAATTTAAATAGCGCGCTCTACTAAATTTCTACATATTACCGGGACAAAGTAGATAAAATAAGACCGCTAATTTATCACACTACTGTTCTATCCCAACACTAATAAACATGTGAAACACTTCGTGGTTTGAGTCGTATAACCAAGATCTTTGCTATCAGAAAGGATTCAAGTAGCCACTAAACGTCATTTGCCACTTTTCATCTTTCCGGTTTCTGTTGTTTAAAACCATAAAATTGCAAAGTACATGAAAATATCCTGGGATTCGATTTACTTGCTAGATTCTTGTGCGCTGAAAGAGTATGTTCCCGAACGTGAAGCTATGACCGGCAAGCTTTTGCGGCAGGTGCGTGGCTTTTCATCACAGGTGTCCGATCCATCTGTCATCAGATAGGAACAACTCTCCCACTGGCTAGTGTAAACCCAACTAGAAAGTTATCTGAAGAGGATCAGTACAGAACGCTTGGCACTGATCGTTGTTGGGAATAACCTTTCCTCTGCTACTTTCAAAAAATGAACTTCTAAGCAAAATTATCTATTCATAAATGGAAGGCTGTTGATCGCTTTCCTTACTATAAAAGAAAGCTCTAACACAAAAAAACCTAATTTTCCAATGAAACATTTGAATTTTCACTCCAAACAAACGCTTCGTACAAGATCGTGTAGCGCTGTGGTTAGAGGTGCTCTACAATACGTAATAACTAGTTCGATCCCACGACCCGTGCTCACCAAGTCTTTTATCCCTCTGGGGTCGGCAAATTGGTTCCAGACTTGTCTGGTAGAATAGCGGCGCTAACCTTGTACATTGGTAGGCCACAACAGGTTATTATATAGGACACATATGCATTCAATCACCTCTATTCTTGATGAGGTCAAACACATCTTTCACGGATTGATTAACGCCAGAGGTTTTATTCTTTACTTTTTACGAACACTCCACCTCTCTAAAAAACTTCTTGTGTTTTCAAAACTTTCGATAAATCTTCCAAGTTAACCCTTAACCGACTCACCCTATCCTAGGGTCTTTTTATCTTTGATCCTTTCTTCATTACTTCTTTCAAAGCTTCACCATGGATTTATGTGATCCTCTTTCGAGGAAAATACATAAGAATATTTTTTCCTGCTCAAAAGAAAAAAAACTTTAGAAGAAGGGCTCTTGCATATGCATACCTCTTTCCATTAGTACTACAGCATGGTCCCTACGTGAAATCTCTAGCTGTAGTGATCGTTTTAAGGGCGTGGGTACCTGCCTCCGATCTCCTAGCGATCGGAAATTTGATACGTTGTTTAGAGTCGACGTGACGTTCCCGTCGCTTCATCCCTCAACCTCTACCTCATAAGCCCGTGAGCAATCAGTAGATGGCACGGAAGGGTGTACAGATACCGTTTACCCCACCTCTTCTAACTTACTATCACCTCACCTCCGCTACCAGCAGGGCTATCAATGTCTGCTTTAAGGTCCTGTAAATCATAATGTTTTCCACACACTCCATTGGGAGCAGAGTTGAACTTCTAAATTAACTGAGTGGTTAAACTGAATTCACAAAATGTACACACGAAGATAGTCGGAGCAGCGAAACCTCTGTCTATTGGAAGAGTTAGTATTTCCACCCAGGTTGTTCTTTTAATAGCGTTACTACCACGTTATGAAAGTTTTATTTAATAACGTTACTGCCACATTATAAACTTTAATACTAAGAATCTAGGAATTTAACTAACCTAGGGCTAAGCAAACTGAACGTACTACATGGAATATTAAAAGAAAGGATTGCCAAGAATCCTATGCAAAAACCATGAAAACTAACATATGTGCTATGTATATTTTATGTATATATATATATATATATATATATATATATATATATAAGCATAGACCCTCATGGTGTGGTGGTGAACGCGTTGGACCACGGCAAAGGAGAATGGCGTGTTCGATCCCAACCGCAGAAAACTGCGGTCTGGAATTTTGAAAATATCTCGGCAGTGTTGTGGCTATATATATATATATATATATATAAATATATATATATATTATACGATATTATATATATATATATATTATATCGTGACTAGAACGTTAAGCCAGCAAATTTGTTATATCAAGCGCATCCCTTCATCAACAAGATTAAGTTCTTTGCTTTAAAATACGACGAAGCATGCCAGGCATCTCTGAAGATGACCCGCCTGGAATTCCGCTAACTATACGGCATCATTAGAGCGATATGATGACGCCGAATCCAAACCGACCCGCCCCATATACTGTATAAACAGCACAGCGGCGTCTTTGCGGATTGTCTGCATGGATCCGCTCGAGCAGAACCAGCGGCGAACACAAAAACACCAACGGGAAACAACCACCACCTAAGCTAACATGCAAGTCGTCTGACCGACCACGTGAGGAGACCAACCTCAATCCAAAACAGTAATACTTGTAATATTTGATATCTGTACATATTTAATCTACGCAAAGAAATGAGCAGCCAGAATATGATACATGGAATATAGAACATAGAAGTGAAAAAGTGGAACAGATAAAGAATATCAGGATTGGGAATGTTATGAGGATCAAGGAAAGGGAAAAAAATTGGTAGAAATGAGTATCGGGCAGTCATGGAAGTAATACGCTTGTGATTATTAGCGACGCTAAAGCAATTCAATGTGTTCTTGATGATAGAAGATAATTAAGACTCTTTCTGACAAGCACTGTACGTTGTTGACGACAGCCTCTTGGAATGACCGCTCTGAACTTTTTTCTTTCATCCCGTAAGTAATAAGAACTGTACGATAGTAGGTCTTTATGTAGGCACTTTAAAGAAAGAGAAGAAACTGCAAATTGCACAAATTCGAAATTTTTGGGCGAAGTAAAGGGTTTGCAGTGCAACAGGACACTTCCGAACGAGCGGTTTAGGCCCACTTACTGGCTAATCAACGAGAAGCAGGCGACCATACTATATGATCATGGCATGGTGTTCCTGTGCCGGATTTCCTTCCTGTATTAACTGGTGATCCATTTTAAACCAGCGACATAATGTTTTCTGAAAAGCGCAATCAACAACGACTTGGTCGGCGGCGTAATGTCGGATTAGGAAACACGGTCGTTTTACTAGAAACTCTGGAAATCGCTTTCAGCTATCAACATACGTTACTCATTACCGTCTGCTTGCTACCATTGTTACATAGCTCATCTTTGTTCTAGAAATTTCACACAAGCCTACCTCCTAGAACCAATAAGATTGCGGCTCACTGAAGAGTCAACCTCGGTAATGTAGTCACTGTTGACTAGCGGTAATATGGACCTCAAATAACCTCGGGTGCTTGGCTAGTGACTAAAGAAGTTTAGTCTCCGCGACCTATGATATTTGAAAACAAGCTCCGAAGTCTTCTCATTTGGTCTACGATTTCCAAGCTCGAATTCGTTTGCGTTCCAGATATGACTCACCCCATCTCGATACGATCTCTGGTCATTTCATGATTCAAACGAGAACGTCGTCGTAATTACCCCCTAGGGAGTTTGTTCGAGTGAACTGAGATTGCTTCAAATAAAGTCATAGACCTTCTCAAAGTGAAAGCTGACCGGTAGAAAAAGTAAATGTGTCAAAAGATATAATATAATTTTTCGCTACATTTGTCGCAGTCAAGTCCATTCAGGTCAAAATTAGCCTTCACGCGCTAAGTGCGACGTGGAAACTTCTCATGCTACCGTGTATGCAAATATTACATCATTGAAGTAATACATATAAAATACGGTACTTCAGAACAGAAGATAAACAACGCCCGTTTCTTGAGTGGTCATTGGACTTGAGGTAGATGGCGACCGAGTTACAATAGACACAAACAACACAATTCGAGGGCAGTTTCTTGATGTAGGGAAAAACTCGACCAGATGCCAGCTGACCGATTTTTCATGTCGCTATTACGCTCACTGGCATCACAGATGTCAACGTGGTACTTTGTAAAGTGAGCCCTGAGGCCCTTTTCATGTTCTAACTATCGCAGATTCTTCTTCGTCTCCCTATCCACACTTAGTTCGGTGAATACGACTGATAATGGTCCTGACGATCGTCAGAAACGTCTCCCGTCAATAAAGAATAGCACAATAGGAAAAAGTGGATAAAAATACTCATTAATGAAGTCCTTAGCCAATTTACCATCCATACTACGCCTAAACAAATCACTTAGTAAGTAAAAATTTAAGTCCGATTGCATTTTTTCACACATTCAGTGATGATGAAG